TACTTTCAAAGTATTTTCTCGAGATGGCAGAGTCTCGTGCTGATAACGTGTTATAAAATAAAGACTGTAAAGTAAAGACAAGTATAGAGAGAAACTGATATATTATTCAAACTTCAAACTTATGTACATAATGAACTGAATTCTCCTCTATTTATAGAAAAAAGGAAGCTGCTGTGTAAGCTGCTAATGCAAGCTGCTGGTAATCTGCTGGGTAAGCTGCTGCTCTAAACTGTTGTGCCAGATATAAATAATCTTCTATCATGAGTAATATTTATCCATAACGGAGTACCGAAAGAATAAGCTTTTTCAGGAGGCTTATTTCCAATAGAGTACTAAATAGATAAATGTATTTATGACGGAGTCTCATATGAATAAACTTCTTCAAGAAGCTTATTTACAACGGAGTACTAAATGAACATCCATTATATAATATATTCATAACATATTCTAAAATATTAATTTTGATTTGAAGAGGAAAAATAATAATTATTCAAATTTGGAGGATACATCCGAAAATCCTCGTGATATTAGACTTCACATATTATCTTTTAAGATGCATTCTTCACCGAACTCGTAAAGACGGAATGAAAATTTTGTGTTGGACCCCAAAAAAAGAAAAAAAAAAAAGGAAAACGACCTCAGTTTCCGCGGTATTCTACCAGCGCGTTACCCCGCGTTCGACGAAGGTGCAATTCACACAGTCAGCTTTTCCTTGTTTTTTCCTACATGTGCAATTGACGCAGTCTGCTTATTTCTCATTCGCTAAAACTCAGAAGTCCCCACACGAGGACGGTGTTCAGTTCAGCCTNCCCCCCCTCCCCACCTCCTATAATCAATCAATCATGAAAGGAAAATGGAAAGTACCTTTTTGGGTGCTATTGGCGTTGTACTGTCTACTTCTATCTCAGTCGTTTAAGGGTTGTTTTTCTGCCTTTAGTCTGCCTCGTCCCTCTTGGAAGAAACAGTCCAAGTTTGGTTCCTCTCTTGTTTTTCCTCTAGCTGGAAACGTGTATCCTAAAGGGTATTTTTCCGCTACTTTTTCAATTGAATTTTACTTTATTATGTTCTTGGATTACTAATGGTCAATGAGTCTCTGCTGTTTTTTTTGGAGGGGTTGATTGAAAATTTCACAAATTCTTTAAAGGTTTTGTTATTTGATTTCTAGGAATTTTATGATCTTTGCGTTTGCGTGTAACAAGTTTTCTCTATTGGTTTTTATTTCTGAAGTCTTATGCTTAGAAGAATGCTGGTAGCCGTACGGCTCTTTCATCATATTCTTTGGCTTTGATAGTCTTGTAATTTTTCGGCATTTTTAATTTCCTTGAAATTTCTTGTACATTTCCTAGTTTTATGTGCTTTAAGACTTTAATCTAAACTTAAGGTTCTTCAACCCCCCAGAAAAAAAGTTGTACTGATTTTCTAGAAATCTAAGAAAGGTGTGTGAAGCTGTAAATGTAAACATAGAATGGACATTTGTATAGTACTGTTTATACTGCTGAAGCTATAACTAGTTGATGGTAGTCAAACCATGGTATCATAAAGAGCTTTGTTATCGCCATGTCCTCTGATTCCACTGGGAGTAGCTGTATCCTTCTCTTTCAATTCGTTATTCTCTCATATCCCCTTTGTTCCTGAGGCGGATCCAGGATTTAAAGTTTATGAGTTCCTATAGCGACCTTAAATAAATATACAATAAGTAAATGGGTTCACAATCAAATATTTATGGATATTTAGTGAATTTTGTAATATATATACAGGGTATATACAAAAGCTACTGGGTTCCCGGGAACCCACATATAATAAGCTGGATCCGCCCCTGCTTTGTTCCATCCTCGTGCTTTTGTTCTATGTGGGAACGGAAGTCCCATATTGGTAGTTGTAAAGATTGTGAAGCATACAAGGTGTAGGACTACTCTTAATGGCGTGAGGTCTTTCGGGGGAACCGTGCGGGCTTGGACCAAAACGGACAAGTATCATGCCGTATTAGAAGTATCTTTGGGCTGACTTAGCCCAACAACTTTATTGACCATTTTGCAACATGATTATTTGAGAGTTTTGGAGAAAATGAAGAAAAATTTGAATGAGGGATGGAAAGGAGAAGAAGGGAGATTAGGCTTGGCCTTAGGGAATGAGAATTTGAAGCTCCCGAAAGATGTATACGAATTATAATTGATGTTTTGCTGTGATCCTATTAAGTGATTGGCGCAACTTTGTTCATTCTTACTTATACCAACCGACAACTTTTATACGGGTTTGGATGTTGTGGGAGATGAAACTTTTGTTCACCAAGAGAATATCTGTTGTTAGTTTTTAAGTTTGAATTTCCTTTTATATTCATGTGTGAATTTTTGTACACTGCATGATTGGTTTCCTGTTCTCTCCCTCTTAAACCCGAATTATTCGTTTCATATGCAGGTATTATCAGGTGACAATCAATGTTGGCCAACCTCCCAAACCTTACTTTCTTGATATAGACACTGGTAGTGATCTCACTTGGCTTCAGTGTGATGCACCTTGTGCCAAATGCGCTCCGGTCGGTGACTCTTCTTTTTCCTTCTATAAACTTAGCTCTTTTAAGTTACGCTGGAAAAAAAAGGGCAGCCTAGTGCACAAAGCATCCTGAGTTCAGGCAGGGTCCGGGGAAGGGCCGCACTCCAAGGGTCATTAATTGTTGTGTTGTTTTAATATTTGAATGTCATGCAAGTGGTCACCAGTATCTTTCCTAATTTCTGCATATATCTATACCATTGCAGGCTCCTCACAGTCTGTACAAACCGAATAAAAATATTGTCAAGTGTAAGGATCCTGTATGTGCATCCCTTCACTTACCTGCAAACCATCACTGTCACACCCCTGACGAGCAATGCGACTATGAGGTTGAGTATGCAGATCATGGTTCGTCGTTGGGAGTTCTGGTGAAAGACGCATTTCCACTAAGATTCACCAATGGTAGCACCGTTTCACCTCCTCTAGTGTTTGGGTAAGAAACTTGTAGAGTACCCAAAAACTAATTTTTTAAAATTGTTAACCAACAAAACAAATGCTGTTTCTTCAACTTTATTCCAGTTCTAAAACTGATTCATGTGCTTGGATCCGCTTTTGCAGTTGTGGGTACAATCAAGAAGTGCCAGCCTCTACTCCTGCACCTTTTACCGATGGAATTCTTGGTCTAGGAAATGGAAAATCAAGCGTTCTATCACAGCTGAGTAGCTTGGGTCTTATCCGGCATGTAGTAGGTCACTGTCTAAGCGGGCAAGGTGGAGGTTTTCTTTTCTTTGGAGATGATGTCCTCCCGTCTTCTGGGATTGTTTGGACACCTATTGTGCGTGCATCTTCAGAGTATGTTCTGTCTGTAGTTGGTTTTTGTGTTTGGAAAATTTGACTTTGTGAGCAATGTGAATAAACTTTAGCGGATACTATGATTTCAGGAAACACTATTCTTTGGGACCTGCAGATCTCCTATTCAGTGGGCAGGCAACTGGAATAAAGGGTATACCAATAATTTTTGACAGCGGAAGTACTTACAGTTACTTTAATTCTGACGCTTACAAAATTCTGGTGTCTTCGGTAAGATAGAAAACCTCAATCCTAAATGCGTTTGCCTTTCACACTGGGGCTTATGAGTTATGATATTGCTGATTTCAGATTAAGAAAGACATAAATACAAAGCAGCTGACCGAGGCAGTGGACGACAAAAGCTTACCTGTCTGCTGGAAAGTCTCCAAAAGCTTCAAATCCATTCATGATGCCAAGAGCTACTTCAAGCCATTAACACTTAGTTTCACAAAAGCTAAAAATGTTCAGCTTCAACTGCCACCTGAGGCCTATCTTGTTCGAACTGTAAGTGCCTTCTTCAATTGCTCCATGAGGCTTATATTGCGGTTGAAAAGTATAAGTACTGATATTCGTTTCCTCTCAGGAGCATGGCAATATATGCTTAGGCATATTGGATGGTTCTGAGGTTGGATTAGGAAATTATAATATCATTGGAGGTATGAGAGAACGAGGCATCTTTTTATACTGTTCAACCTTAGTGTCTCCTTTTCCTTGTCTAGATGTTGAAAAATAGTGTCCCCTTGGAAAAAAAAATAGGATTCATGTTACCATTTTTATCCCCTACTTAACAAGGTAGTCTTGTCAAAAAATGTACGAGGGTACAACTTGGAGATATATCAATAATCAAACAGAAGAATATATGACCCAACATTTTCTCCAAGGACACTTTCTCAGATAGAGGAAGTATAAGAGTTCCTTCTCCACATTATAACTTCTTTTTCCTTTTCTTGATTTATGTATGCAGATATTTCTATGGTAGACAAAATGGTGATTTACGACAACGAGAAACAACAGATTGGTTGGGTTTCAGCAAACTGCAACAAGCTTCCATAGTCCTGGTAATTCCGACATACATTTCTTGCTTTCCACATTACTGCTGTCGCGAGACCTCACCAGAAACCAATCTCTTCTTGTATTGACAGCATATATCATGGTTACAGTGAAGGTTTTGGCGACCCCTACCGAAAAATACATGTTAATGTGTAATAGGAAGAAGTAGAGGCAGAAAGTATGTCACTATTGTGAGTAATGCGGCTTGTATGCCGATGTTTGTAATCGTGCAGAGGAGCAAATTTAATTGATTGGTCATACAGAAATTTCACTGTAATCATCCATACAACATATAATAGCAGTCAGTGTATATTCAGTTCATCTCCAAATCTATCTTCTATATAATCTATCTATCTATATCTATTATCTATTTTCTATTTGAACCAGAAGACTCGGTAAAATGTTGACAGACCAATATAACACTACTCCTATAACATGTTTTTTTCAAATAATGTAAATATGCATTCAACTAAATATTAGTATTAGATATAAAAACTGTGCAACTGAATGAGCCAATTGCAGAATTAAAAAATGTAACTCGATACGAAAAGATGCTGACTGTTTGTACTTTAATTTAACAAATAGATCAATTCTCTCAAAATTGTTCCTGCTAATTTATTTTTGTTTACCTTTTTTGTCACGACCCAAAATCCATAAAGGTGGTGATGGCGCCGGACACCACTGTCAGGCAAGCCAACAATAAATACTTAATTAAATTCTCATTTTAATATTTTTAAAATCGTAAATTTACTTCAATTTATCTAGGAAAAGATGAATTTACAGAATAAATACAATGTTTTCAAATTTCAATACTTAACATCCCATAATTATCCCAGAACCTGGTGTCACAAGTGCATGAGCATTAACTAAGAATGTAAAATAAAATACAACAACTGTCCGGAATACAAATTGGACAGGAAAAGAAAATACAATACTCTGAGGGAGACTCCGTTGGTTGCGAATCGTCGTAAAGAATGCAGCTCACCTAAGTCCCTACCATAATCGCGCCTATGCACCCACAAGGCCGCTAAACATATGTGTACCTGCACAAAAATGTGCAACAAGTGTAGCATGAGTACGTAAATCAACGCGTACCCAGTAAGTATCCCGCCTAACCTCGAAAAAGTAGTGATGAGGGGTCCACTCGTACACTTACTATGGGCTATAATCAATATACCAATGATATGATAAATTATGGATTTTTTTTTTATGAGGCAACGGTAAACACAGTAACATGAGACAGATAAACAATTCTCTTGGCAATAAGGGATTTCCAAATTGATTTTCATCTTTTAACAATTTATATCTCCGGTCAATGAGGCCATATCAAATTACCAATTTATCTCGGACCAGGGAGGCAATATCGTTATGTATAAATTTCAAAGCAAGCAATACAAGCATGCGCAAATCATGCTGAGGTTGTACGGCCTGATCCAACAAATATTTAAACTGTGCACTGCCAGAGGGTCGAATGGCGCGAACCATAGATGCATCTATTTACTACCGAGACGCTCGTCCCAATCCACAAATAATAATTATTTTTAAGAAAACACAAGTTTCTCATTAACAGTTAAATATCTCATACAAGGGCCTGTTTGGATTGTCTTAAAAAAAGTGGCTTTTAAGTTAAGTGCTTAAAAGGACTTTATAAGTACTGGAACTTATTTTATAAATAAGCAGTTACGTGTTTGGATAAAAGTGCTGAAACTTAAAACAAGCTGATGAAGTGTTTTTGTAAACAAGTGCTGGTAAGCACTTTTTCTTGTTAAAATGACTGAAATATCCTTAAAGTTGTTAACATTATAAAGAAGATGATGACCATAATATTATATTTTCCGTTCATAGCTTTAAATTCAGGGATAACACGTAAATTCATTGAATGATTTGATTTTAGAATATAATTTCACCAATTAAAAAAAAAGGAAGGATTCAACGACCAAAAAAATTAAATGTTATGGAACCAAAAAAAGAAGCCAAAAGAACAATATTTATAAAATATTGGAATGTATCAAACATTATTTAAAAAACTATTATTTGCTTCACGTTAACAACTTCAAGAAATTGACAAATATTGGAGAATGGGGAAAATAAATAGTATGTTGTAGGGTTTTTACTTAGGAGTAATTACGGGATTAAGAAAAATTATAAGGGATAAGAATGTAATATCTTTGGTCAAAGCAATATGGCTTTTAAGCCAATTTAGGAAAAGTTAGATTTTCCAACTTATTGGTTTTGGCTTTTTTTAAGCAGATTTTAACTTTTTTTAAGCCCATTTTTTGGTTGTCAAACACTTTCACAAGTTAAAAACTGCTTAAAAGCTGGTTTGACCAGCTTTTAAGCCCATCCAAACAGGCTCCAAACCTTCAAGTAAGTGGATTTAACCTTTATGCAATTCTTTTATCAATTTCAATCATGACTAAGTGATTATATTAGCAAGTAAGGGCACAAATATTCCAAGTATAGCATGATACGGGTCCTAAACTACACGGACAATAGCATAATAGTAGCTACATACGGACTCTCGTCACCTCATACGTACGTAGCCTCCCACAATTAGGTACAAATATTTATTTAATTCACTTATAGGGTTAATTCCCTCTTACAAGGTTAGAAAGGAAACTTACCTAGCTCCGAAGTTCCATAACCGACTTCCGAGCCCTTCAAACAACTTGAATCGATGCACAACGCTCTAAAACTAGCCAATGATTATGCAAACCTATTAATATATACTCAAATACTTAATATAATCCAATTTATAATAATTTCTAACCCCGATCGAAAAATCGATAGAAATCACCCTCAGGCCCACGTGCCCGGATTCCGAAAATTTTCGAAGATAATCATTACCCATAACCTTATGAACTCAAATATATAATTTATTCCCAATTCCATGCCCAAATTCGTGGTCAAAATCTAAAATACTAAATTCTAGGTTTTCTACCAAAACCCCCACAATTTAGACTAATTTTCATGTTCAAATCCATATAAACTCATGTATTTAATTCAAAATTATGAAGAAAGCACTTACCCCATTATGATTGATGAAGATGGCATTCCAAAGTGCTCCAAAATCGGCTCTCATGGGCGAAAATGAAGTGAGATAGAGCCAAACCCTCGCTTTCAAGGAGACACTGCCCAGCCCTGACTTCCCCACCTGCGGCCTCTTCGTCGCACCTGCGGTCCCGACTTCCCCACCTGCGGCCTCTTCGTTGCATCTGCGGTCTCACAGGTGTGGCCATAACCTCGCATCTGTGCATTCCCTCTGCCTAGCTCAACTCCGCACCTGCGCCTTTCCTTCCGCATCTGCGCCTTTGCAGGTGCGGACATACCCTCGCACCTGTGCTCCCAGATTCTTCTCTCACTCTCACACCTGCGATGCACCTCCGCATCTGTGACCTCGCAGGTGCAGACAAACCCTTCGCACCTGCGGTCACTGCCCAGCTTCGCCCAAACTGCACCTACGACCACTGGCTCGCACCTGCGACCCTTTTTGCGCAGGTGCGATCACAGCAGATATCAGCTGCCTCATCTTTTCTTTCAAGTCCAAACTCGATCCGTTGACCATCCGGAATCTACCTGAGGCCCTCGGGAACCTCAACCAATTATACCAACACGTCCTAAAACACATTACAAACTTAGTCGAGCCTTCAAATCACATCAAACAACGTCGAATTCATGAATCGCACCCTATTCCAAGCTTAATGAACTTTAGAATTTCAAACTTCTATGTTCGATGCCAAAACCTATCAAATCACGTGCGATTGACCTCAAATTTTGCACACAAGTCACATTTGACATTACAGATCTATTTCAACTTCCAGAATCGGAATCCGACCCCGATATTAAAAAGTCCAGTTCCGGTCAAACTTTTCAAAAACCTTCAAATTCCTAACTTTTGCCAAACGACTCCAAAATGACCTACGGACCTCCAAATCCACTTTCGGACGTGCTCCCAATACCGGAATCACCATACAGAGCTATTCTCAGACTCGAAATTCCAAACGGACATCGATAACATTGAAATACACTTCAACCCAAATTTATGGAATTCTTCCAAAATGCTAACTTCCACAATAGGTGTGGAAATGCTCCCGGGGCATCCAAAACCCAATCCGAACATACGCCCAAGTCTGAAATCATCATACGAACCTGCTGGAACCTTCAAATCCCGATTCCGAAGTCGTTTACTCTAAAATCCAATCTTAGTCAATTCTTCCAACTTAAAGCTTTCGAAATGAGAATTTTCTTTCCAAACCGACTCTGAACTTCCCGAAATTTAATTCTGACCACACATACAAGTCATAACACCTGAAGCGAAGCCACTCAAGGCCTCGAACCGCCGAATGACGCGCTGGAGCTCAAAACGGCCGGTCGGGTCCTTACATTCTCTCCCACTTAAACATACGTTCGTCCTCGAACGTGCTAAGAACTGCGCTGAAGTTGTCCGAAATCACTGTTTAGCACCTCGTGTACCTACCCGTGCTACCACAACTCAGTTGAGCACACTGGTTCGAGTAAATATGAAGATACTCTTTTTGTTTAGTCAAATTAGCCTTAGAGCCAAATTCCAACATCCAAAATCTTCTGCCAGGCCTGTTTCCAACATACGAACACTATATCAATCACCACACGATGTACCAAAACATGACTGCATACCTTTGCTTAATTCACACCATGCACCGCATAATTTACATGACCATAATAATATCCTCTGATAACAATAGCCGAAATTCCACGAACCTGATGTCCGCAACACACCTCATGCCACACACATGTCCTGCTCCAACTCTTGTAATGCTGCCGCTGCGGAAACGATGCGTAGAAATTTACAACCAACTACCGAGTCAACCATTCATTGAGTTTCTCCCCTTGACAAGAACCATTACCTCATTCTGGACTGAATACCGATATTTACTCTTTAACTATGCCTAATACCGATCTGATCACACTGACCCCAGGTCCAATAATCCCGTCTCTCCCAGTATAAACTGCTCAGGCAATAAGCCACCTCAGACTCTGCCAAAAATCTCATGTGATGCCACAACGTGCCGACAAACTACAAACATGAATGTGATACATAAGGAAAACGAACTCTGGAAAGGACTACTCAACCCACGTAACTAATTAAACAACCGAAAAGGAGTTATGAACCTTCCTCAGAAAATGAGAAACGAAACGCACAAGAATAGATATAGGGAACTGTACTCAACATCACGCTGTTGCGACGTGCAACCCGATCCAAACAACATACCCGTGGCGGCATGCCACCTGATTCACACATAATAACCTGTAAGGAATTAGTTATCAAGCTAAAATGCTCATACCTGTG